AACAATTTATTATTGGAATGAGCATCGAGAGCACATGACTCATTTTCTTTTTTTTAATTCCTCATGCGTTCTCATTAGGCTAATATCGAAAATAGCCTTTTTTTTTTTTAAATCCAACCCACTGAAAAAAATTACATAACCACAGACTTTTCTACTGTTTTGTACTTTGTGAGGAAAGAAGAAACATATGACAGGAAAGCTAGAAGGGATTTGTTTTGTAAAATTCTCAGACCTATAAAGGGATTGATGATTTAGTTCAGTTCAAGTCTTTTACAACTACAATTCCACATGCAAGATATATGTATTACTTTTTCCAACCAATACTGTTTCTTAAATAGAGGGAAATGAGACCTATGATCCTTCTAGAAACCTTGCTGGATTTGGACATAGGAAGGTGGGCCTGGAGCGAACTGTGGCTCCCTATAAGCAGGGGGACATTAAATGGTTCTGCATAATAAAACTATAAAGTACTCAGGGTTTTTCTTTTTTTTTTGGGAGGGGGGAGCTTTCAGAGAGGGAGGAAGGGTTGGCAGAAAGCAATCAAAAGGAAAGAAAGAAGACAAGACATGGGAACAGAGCCAACCAGATTATAGAAGCTTGTAGCTATCCTTTGATGTTAGCCAAAATGCATTTTAAAGATAGAGATGCCTAACATTCACTGTCAACACTCTGGCATTGCAACAAAGTAATGTACCCTCGGCCTACCCTTCCCCCACATCTTCCATAAAGCTGACCACACCCACCAAGGTTTTATGTGAACTTTTTTTTTTCTGTTCTATTTTTTCCTAGCTTCTGTTGGGCACATACATCCAACTGCATCACAGACATCTCAACTAACCACTTAGCACTTCACTGGGTTGCTCCAAAACTTACTATCTTTCCTTCCCCCAACTCTACCTCCAATTGTTTCTAACTGCTCCTTTCCTATCCTCCAACATTCCACTAGCTTATTAATGTCATCATCACTAAAGGAACAACTAATATTTATTGAGCACTTGGAATGTGCTAAGTAGTCTGCCAAGGGCAGAGAAATTACAGGCGTAATTTCACTTGATCCTCCAACCCTACTCAACAGGTACTATGATCATTTCTCTCAATGTTATGAAATCAAAGCTCTGTCGGGACAGTAATTCTAGGGGTAAAAGAGAGAATTTAACCCCTGTTTTGACTCTGCAGCCAGCTTAATCAGCACACGCCAGTGCCCCAAGTCAAAGAACTTGGGTATCATCCTTCATTAATCATACCTAGTCACTTTGCCCAGTCTCCCAGTCATACCCACTAAATGCCACATCATCTCTCCTTCCAAAACCTTAACACAGAAAAACAACTAGAATTTACTAAGTCCTTCGTAGAGCCAAGCACTATTCTAAGTAACACTGAGAGAGTCAAACCCAGATCATTTGACTCAATATCTGAACACTTAACCCCTACATTACAATAGTCTTCTGCCCTGTTCCCCCACTTCCCACTTGGACACCCACCATCCTCCACACTGCTGCAGGTATCTTTCTGGAATGCAAACGTTATCTTAACATTCTCCTGCTTGCAGGAGAATGCTGTCAGCTACTGGATAGACTCCAAATTTCTTAATTTGGTATACCAAACCCTTGATTTCTCTGTCCGAGTCAGTTCAATAAATATTTGAGTACCCACTCTAAGTAAGCAAGGCAAAGCGCTAAGTGCTCTGAAATTAATAATACACCAGTCCCTGCAATGCCGGACGTTGTGTCCTTCAACCGGACTAGCCACATGTGGATCTCATAATGCAAAAACCCTAAGAATACATGGACTTATTTGCAAGCGGCCTACATGTTAGTCCCTCTGCCTAGAACATATCTGGCAAAATCCTGTACCAATATGAAGAGCGCCTACGTGGGGCCTTCTCTAACAAACTCGAGAGAAATGCTCCCTTTTTAAAGACCCCATAGCACTTCGTTCAAATCACTTTTAGAAAACTTGTAGAAAGGGGGTAGGTACACAGATCAGCTTCCAAAGCGTAATGGATGTACACAACTTCCATTGGGTAATGGATCAGCTTCTGGGCAAAAACTGACCCCTACCATCAATGCCTGGCATACAGTAGGCACTTTATCAGTGGTTAAATGAATAAATAACGAAAAAATCCAGACTTGATGAGGAGAGGAAACAGATACAGACTCAAGAATGTTAACAAGTAGGCCAAATTAAGAGCAGTGTTACTCTGATTCTGATTTGGCCTACATTTTACCCCTATGGGAAAACTCACATGTGGGACTTGGACAAGCTAAAAAGGCAGAACTTTGTTATTCATGGTTCAAGAAAGCTTTAACTGGCCAAAAAGGATACTAGGTCCCAGCCTCCTTCTTCACC